TCTAGGCCAGGGCACCGACAATGCGGCTCAAACAAGTTGACACCACCGAGAACAAGCGATGGGAGCCGCCACAGGGCATGTGGGAGAGACCCACATCACATGCGCCCCAACAGAAAGGAGCACGATCACCATGCGGGAAATACAAAGGCAGCGGCACCTCCCTTTACACCACACTTTGCGCCGAGTTTCCCTTTCCTGAGAGCTTCTTCTCGATTCAAGTTCATTCCATCGTCTCTGATCTTGCACTCTCCACTTCGTTTTGTTTTTGCGCCTCCATATCATGAGGTCACGGAGCAGCGCTGTCCCTTTTCTCTTCCTCAATTGGCGTTCCCCTCCAGCAGTATCCTTGATTGCACGGCTTCCTCCAAGAAAGCCCCGCTTCTATCGCAAATTTAAAACACGTGATTAAAAGCTCCGTCCCTTTAGCGCATCTGCGATAAAGCGAAAATATTCGTGGCGAACTGGGAATATGAACTTCCCGTGTGATATCTTAATTTTAGAAATCGGTGTTAATTACAATAGGAGGTAATACTTTATTGCATTGCCGAGGATATATGACATGTTTGGTATGTTAAATATGAGCAGAAGGAGTTCATGCAAATTGCAATTTATTTAAATTCATCTTGATTTGAAGCTTTCGTGACTGCAGGAATTCATACTCTTTGGTTCTTTCGGTAAAGTCTCGTACGTAGAAAAATAATAGATCACGACGTTTCGATCGCAACACAAGCAATCGTCATCAGGTGGGACAAGCACAGCAATAAAAAAACTGCTGAAGTATTTAAATGACTCTGATACTCCTTTATTGATGTGAAGTGATCTATGTAAATAAAGAGCGCTTTAATTTATTGAATAGAGCCACGCCATATCTGCATTCTCTGAAATGTTCCACTTGAAAATGCCTCCTCCTGAACCCATTCTAGCTCTTCCTCATTACCTTTGTCTTTCAATACAACTGATTTTTAAATCCTTTATATTAAGTTCGCTTGCTTGCGTGCTTGCGTGCTTGCTTGCTTACGACCGTGCAAATCTTTCGGTCGTTTTTTAACCCACTTCCCGTGATCCAATCGAGCTGACATTTTGCACACAGACTCGTTGTGCGAGACAATTAATGTTCGTGAAAACATTTTTCCAAATTTTTACACTGTTTAGGGAAAACAAATTAAATATTTAATTACCAATTGCTTAATACTGGCAGACAATCTGACCCATAGGTGGCAGCCATCTCAAGCCAGAGGACGAGAGGACTCTAGCCGCCACGCATATAAAGGATTTATAGTGAAAAACTTTGTTTTTACTGGTTATTCTTATTTTACATAGAATGGAACCAGTACCAGCAGGCACGTCATTGGCTACGGCGAGATAACTTAAAAGAAAATAACTAGAGGGGAAAAAAACGTGCAATCTTTCACTTGAGAAGTTTCCCGTGCCGGTGACTAAGTGTGAGAATTAATGCGTGGTTGTGCAGGCGGTGGCGGCCACTGTTAGGGTGTCTTGGGTGTCCCGACGCCTCCCAGAATGTTTAGAATGTGGATCAGGGGGCAAACCACAAAATGTGATTGCGTTTAATCAGTCATTAAGGCGTGAATGCATTAATTCATACATTTATCCACCCATTTGTTCATTCTTGCATGTATTTATCCATCCATTGATTCATGCTCTATTTTGTTTATTCATATTATACATTTTCAGTCATTCACACTTTAATACACAGCTCTATGCATGTATGTATGGTGAGCTTCTTTTGCACCGTACATAGCCAACCGTGCAAATCAGAAGTGCAAATCCATTTATGCATTCAACCATTCATGCATGTGTAATGACAGGGTGCCATCTGTTGACCAGGAGGGGTAATCACGAATATGGGTGCGTTATATAATAACCAACCAGAAGGGGGCATAACTGAGTTAAAGGTAAACGGCGGGCTCAGTCGGGAAGCTCCTGGAACCTGCTCGTAGGTTCTAGAAAGGGGCGTGGCCAGAAGCGGGGCCTGGCCATGTTGGGAAGTATATAAGGGGTACGTGACCGAAGGTTCGGGGCTGTCGTGGGGTCCCGGGTCCTGGCTGCCGTCGCTGTCTTCGCCGTCATCTCTCTTCATCGTCCGGTCGCATGTCCGATCCTCTGCATGGCTACCATCGTCTTCGTTGCTATTTTAGTCAGCCAGCTATATAGTTAGACGCCGACGATGGGGTTGTGTAGATGGGTCAGCTATGCGTAGCCGTGTCTATATATATGTCGCCCAGTGATTCTTCCTGAGGTGTGAGAAATAATTAAGAAGCCCTCTCTACACGTTGTGTCTCGGAATTCGCTCACTACACATGCTTTCATTAATCCATTCAGTCATTCAAACATTAAACGACGCATCCATCAATGTGCATTAGTTCATACACCGCCTGTACAACACATGCAGGCTGTGTGGCATAATCTACCCTGACCAGAGAGTCACGTCCACAGATATGTAAATGATATTCAAATGATATGCACATAATATGCATATTATAATGCGTGCATGCCACAGGACTGCCATGCGTTGTGCGGAGTGTGCATCTGTAATCTACAAGAATAGCCAGTGTCGGGCACAGGGGTTCTATGACCATACATGCGGTCGACTTGAATGCGATTCGACTGACGTCGACCCGCGCTTACGTGGAACCGCTTCTTACGGCACGATGCCGACTCAGGCGCCAGTTCCGCGCACAAACAAATGGTATGGTGCATCGCCCAGTCAGTCTGCCTCCCGACGCCTCGCCCCGGTGCCAAGCCTCCGTGCATTCTGAGTGACTTTTAAGCATTATTGATTTATTTCATCCTTAAAATTGGCTGATAAAAAGGCAAAGGTCAGTGCTCGAGTGATGGCCCTGATGAAGGTGTTCCTTTACCTTCAGATTTCTTGCACTAAATCCCCCGCTTTAATTGCAAAGATTCAGTCCAAATTAGCCGGTAATTATGAAGAATCAAGGTAAGACCTTTCTCAACACTATTATTGTAATTTATATCTTAGTGGTAGTTGAGTAAATATGCTATTTGTATTTATATCTATAAAAAGTTGCATATCGGATCGTTGGTCAGGAACGCAACCCCCTATCAAGTCATTGTTTCTCTGGGGAAATCGGTCTCGACTTACATGGCCAGGAATCGAATTCAGGTTACCGGGTTCAAAGCACAGTGTACTAAACACTGCCCTACTCCTCCACCCATTAGCTTGGTTAACTAACTTTGAATAATAAAAATTAAATTTTATTTTATTAAAACGTTATTTTCCCACGTTAACTTCACACCGCATTCATTTTCAATCCATTCGTAACGTTAAACTACGAAAATATTTCAATGGTGCTTTCCAAATTAACGGAATAGGTACGAAATGTCACATCAAGATTGCATTATAAAACCACAAATGAAATTTGCAGAGAGAAAAACAAGAATTGCTAAATTCTAGAGTCTATATTAACGCGTTTTTGTTCGGGTTCAATGCAAGCACTCGCTTCTCGATTATAACAATATTCCGCGTGATGAAATGTTTGATTCGCGAGTCATCAGTCCATACAATGTTTGACGAGGACAGCATCTCTCACTCGCGAGTGACCATTTTGTTTGCCAGTCTCACACACATCGCCACCACCATCATCACCACCATCATCACCATCGTCATCAGCATCATTATCATCAGCACTATCATCATCACCACCATCAGCACCATCATCATCATCAGCACCATCACTACTCTCACGACCATCAATCACCACCACCATCATCTGCTTGATTATATTATTTACCCCACTGCAGGAGTTTTCTGATTGGGGTGCTCGCGTTTTTCCTCCCCACACGCGCCGACTGAAAATCAGTCTGCTCCTGCGCAGATGCCAGAAAAAATTCAAAGTGTGCAGTTTTGATGAAAAAGGGGGGGGGGGGGGGGAGGGGAGGGGGGAATCCAAATTGGGTGCTCATAATTGCAAAGTAGAGGACAGATGTAAAAAAGTAGAAAAAAATGGACCAATGATCGACTTTGTCAGCATGGATGCAGCGCCAAATAAAGGAAACCCAATTTGCATTATTAAAGTCTGTACAAAAAGGAGCTCTGATAAGGGTGTGCACAGCATGGCGGTGGGTTTTGCACCAGCACCATAGCTCTTCATTTACACACAGATAATCGCGTGAAGCATGAATGCATTCTAATGGGAGCCCCAACATGTGAGGGTGTTAACTGGCTGAGCTCTGAAGCCCGCCACCGTCTGCAATTTGTATAAATTGTGTACAGCCGCTGAACCCAAATGAATTAACTGTCTTTGATTCAGCCAAATTTCTTTATCTACGCACGAACATTAAAATTCACAACTGTGCTCCTTGCCAGCCCAGCAAAGTGTTCAAATGGCACCAGCAATCCTGCTTTATATAATATATAATTACATGCAAAGAACAAAGCCATGGATTAGGGAAATTGTTATATAGGATAAAAAAATATTGAAAAAATCCAGCTAAAATAATCGTCAATTTGTGTTTTATTCATGACCTATGTTTCCTACGTTTCAAACAAGATACCAAACGTGTATTAAAAACACACGTAACAATCTGCGCATGCAAAAAAATATCCAATCAGAATGTTTCCGTATTTTTAAAGCCCTCGGTGTATGCTACCAAGATCACAAAGCCTCAAGGTTTAAAGAGTATCTAAAAGCATGAACATCACTTCTAAGACCCGAGTCAATTAGGCCGTACTAGTCCATTTTTTTTACAACGAGTGTTTGGCAGGAATGGTAGGTCTCAAGCCCAAACTCTATTATCGGCAACTTCACTCTTTCATTACGTGCCTCCGATATCTTTAGTGAGATCGTGGGTGGGACATTGGAAGGGCTTAACAGTGGGACTCGCACTTGCCCTTGCACAAATAATGGGTCTCAACTCTCACTCTCAGCCTTTTGTGTGTGGGACAGATGCTGATCTGGTAGGAGAGAGTCATGGGGATGGGGGGGGGGGGCACAAAGAATAGAGGAAGAAAAAAACGACCGCGTGATTGTTGTTTATTGCACAACGTGAGCACAAGTGTGGCCATGATGGAGGTGGCCTTGGCTCGTGCCACGTGCTTTTCATTGTCATTAACCGCCATTATCATTCGCCTTGGTGAGTCCACTGCTCGATAAAGGCGACCCCCAAAGCTGCCACCATCTCTTCAGGATGCTGCAATTTAAAATCCCACCACACCACACGCAAATGAGCCGCTTTCGTCGCTCTATCTCAGCAGTAAAAGGCGTTCCTCTTGGAGGCGTTACGTTCATTGGCTGCCACTATATCATTATTCGTGACCATCTGCTATCGTCCTGTCCAGCGACAAGTCTTGCCCAAGCCCCTTTGCCTTTCGTAAGAGTCCTAATTAACACTTGGTCCTAATTAACACTTAGTATGTTCTCTAACCCATGTGCTCCTCTTTCTGCCTCTCGGTGGAATTCCAAGCACGTGCCTCTCGGTGCATCTTTGCTCGCTTTTTCGCATTCTTAGCAACCCACAATTGCCCGTTTCATATTTTCATTCACGCAAGCAACTCCGTAACAGCTTTGTCGAGGTGCTTTTAGGCTGGGGAGGGAGGAAGGAAGGAATGGCGTGGAGTGGAGTGGGTTTGCGCGAGCCTTTGTCATCTCGAGTGATTTCCCGCAAGCTCACAAGTGCAAATATGTTTTATGTGCACGCACAAGAGTGTCGGGGCTGTTTATGAGGCACCTGAGAGGTGGAATGTCAACAGGCACTGTCGTTCCACTGCGCAACGCTTCCATCCCATTACGTTTATATCACTGCAGAGTGGAGAAAGCACACCGTTAAATTTTTCCAGTTATTTTACTTTAAACGAATGATAATTGACAAGGTGCCTCTTTGCAGCTGGTCTGTGTGGGACCGATGGGGGTGGCGGCCCCTCCAAAAATTAACTTTGAAAGTATTCGATTTAATTTCGAGGGTGAAGGTGACCAAGGTGCAGCCCTGCAATTGCTCGCTCAATGCCACTGCTCGTGAAATTGACCTCCAATACAGGGAGCTCCACAGAGCCAATGCTAATGCCTATTCTTCCACCCTGGTCAGATGTCTTTGAAGAGGTGGGAGTATTCACACTTTACCCCACCACGTGCAACCTGCCAAAAGACTAACTTTGATGTACCCACCCCCAGATAACTTATTTTAAATATGAGAAAATAAGAAAATGGTAAAAGTTTTTTTAAAGTAAAACATTTGCCTCATTTCTGTATTTTTTTCTTAAGTTAGTTTTGGCGTTTCAAATTGATTCAGATGAAAGTGATTCCAAATGTAATCTAAATATGGGAGCGCCCAATGTGTCTGCCCGAATGAGATTTGCCACATTTGGCATCTCAAGGTAACTCTTGCAAATCAGCCCTCACCTGGTTAAGCAACGTAAACAATCTCAGTGGCTAAAAGATTATCCACCAGCCACCACTGCTGCTATGTTCATCATTACACCTCTGTGGAGCAGTGGTGGCCACAGCAGTTCTCGCGCTGCGCTACGAACCAGGCAAGCTTGATTTCAATTCCTAGCCACGGATAAAATCAGAGGCAAACGATATCTCTAAATGGTTCCTGGGTCAACTTTATTCACCAATAAAAAAATAAACCTATAATTACCAGCATGGATAGGTATGGTCAAATAACCTCTACGACCGACAACAGTGTGGGAAACCTTCATTAGGCAGTGGATTGACAAACAGCCATAACTTATTTCTAGTAGTACGAGTAGTAATTATGTTCTTAGATGTTTAATATTTCTATTGTCAAAAGTATTGGCCACCTGCATAGATGTTCGCAATTGTACTGTACCGGTGCTCCAATGTGTTTTAAGGTTGTGCAGGATGTTGTTGTTGTTCGGCACATCTGATGTTTTTCCTCCATACGCTGGGAGCTTCTTGAGTTCTTCAGTTCCCTCTCACGATCGTTTAAAGCATTCCAGAGACAGAGAACGACTCAGATGGGTGAGAAACCCCAGACAAGTGGGAAGGCAGCAGCCGGCGCCAAATTATCCCCCGAGCTCTGCAGTCCTCTATATATTAAGCAATTTTTTTGACCAATTAATGAGTTGATAATTGTTTTTTTACCCTTCTATCTGGCAACAAAACTGACACCTTTTTTTACAAGGAGTCATGTTTGCATAGACCACAATACCTGCAGTCATAATGCAAACAAAAAAACATAACTCTGATAATGTATGCACTGTCCTTGAAGTTGATTGGTCCACGCCCGAGACAGCTTTCCTTAGAGTCTAGTCTCACATGGGTTGGACCAGATGACGCCAAAAGGCGCACAACTCAAAGACAATGTACCATCAGAGTATGAGAGCTCGGGGCAAGCATTTACACCATTGGAACCTCATTTTCCAGTAAAAAAATATGATAATTTTTTTTTTACCCTTCTATCTGGCAACAAAACTGACACCTTTTTTTACAAGGAGTCATATTTGCATTGACCACAATACCTGCAGTCATAATGCAATTAATGAGTGTTTACGTTTGGGAGGAAACTGGATCACACGGAGAAAACCAAAGTGTATGAGGGTGGGGGCGAGGGGCAACACTCTCCCCCACAGATGGAACAGGTGGAGGAGTCCACACAATCACGGGAAGGAAATTTCGAAATAATCGCGTGTGATCTACCGACCCTCGCCTCCAACAGTGCTGGATTACAGGCAACATGTACAGAGCCGCCACCGCCGCCGCCGCCGCCCGATCTTTGGCGCACGCCAGTTCCAGAAGAATCTCCCTGCACGTAGGAGCGAAACGTTGGTCATCGTGCGGAACAACACACGGGTACGACCTGAAAAACATAGCGGAGAGCTGTAATTCAGATTTTTTTTTTCTCTTTTCCAAAGGTCTCTTTGTAAAAACACACTGTACCTCACCTGATAGCGGGGTCTCCTCTGATTACGAAGGATCTGATTGATTGCCCTGACCATCTGTGTTTTGTTCTTACACGGTCAGCCGAAGCTGATGTGCTTTGGGTTCACCACGGTTGCAGCCAAGATTGATGAGGTGCGGGACGCACTTGAGCGGGCGTCTTCGGAATGAACAAACATTCGCGAAAGCACAAACATCCTTTTTAACACTCTCCAACGAAGGGTCAAGAGCATTTGCGCATTAGATCTGTCCGTCTGTCTGTGTGCCCGTATGTCTGTAGCGGAGCGGGTGTGGTAACCCCTTGTTAATGTGCTGCAATGTGATTTAAACTTGAGTAGAAAGTTGTGTTGCTATTAGAGACGTGTTCTATTGAAAACTGGCCACATTGATATAAAGAGGGTTATAATGTCCAAATCTTGGAGACACATATTGGGAGCAAAATATAAATGCATTTCGAACACTAACAGCTACCCACCAGATTCCACAGTGCTAATGAAATGCTTTCAAACAAACGCGTGTTGGAAAGTGTTAAAAAAAATCCATGCGTCTACATAATCTTCCACACCTTGCATACATTTAATTTTTGTTGGTAAAAATAATATATAAGACATATCAAAACCATTTTTACATATATAAAGCACAATCTTGTAGTGTTAAACAAGAACGCAGCTGACTGTGGATTTGTATTAGCCCTCATAGAATAAACGAACTGCACGCACAATTATAAATATTTTTGTAAGTGTTTTTTTTTAAGTTATCACCGAAGGCCATGAGCCCTCCCCCCCCGGCTTTTTTGTCTCGTCTTCAAAAGCCATTTGCAAAGCACAAAACGAAGTAGTAAAATCAAAAGAACACAACGATTACAGAATAATGCATTGATGTTATTAATTATTAATCCAGTTGTACAGCCAGTAATATCCTCCATGGGACTCGTAACAACACAAATGCCCAAAGCAAGCTAAACAAATAGAAATTTTCCATTCCGTTTAATTTTCGACTTTCAGTATTTTCCCTTGAGCAGTTATGCACTCATTCATTCGTGACCTTTATTGGTCAAGCAGCTCAAACCCCCATCACAAACTAAAATTCTATTTTTCAAGGAGGGCTTGGGATATAGAGAAACAGCTAGAGGAATTGTTTCAACAAGAAAAGCAAAGCAAACATTCGACGATATAAGACTCAAAAGCACGCCGATAGAGAGACGCTAATGATCAAAAACAATTGCCAAGTAAAACATCACAAAATCTGTCTCGCTGGGGACTCAGGTATAGGCAGACAAGTGAAAAGGTCAGATGTGTCAACACTGTGCGCAAATAACGCACTGGGTGTACTAATTGGTCAGGATGGACAAGCGACGTTGTGGTTTTATTAAAACTTTCTAAGCAAATTAACCACGCTATTGAAGAAGACTAATTCATTGATCAATGTTGCAGCCCTTTCCCAATACACCGCCAGCTAAAAACCTTTCCACACCATGTCGGTTTGTTTGGCCATACTTCACCACGCTGGTCAGCATCGGTTGATAATAATTAATTAGAAACAAAAATCTAATCTGTGGCTCTTGCAACCGAGAGGTAAAGGTGCAGCCCTGCAATTACTTGCGGAGTTCTTCACTCATTTTCAGAGGGGCGCCACTTTCGCCGATTACACTGGTCAAAAAAAAAAATTCTGGCCTGGACTTTTGCAGCTGTTCTAGACTAATTTCAGGGTGCCGATTCCAAATCTGATCTCAGAGTTGCTCTATCACATCTCATTTTATGCTATCGGCATACCCCATTTTCATTGATTTTAGCCGAAATTAACTCTGTCACTTATGATTGCAAGTTGTTGCGAGTCAGTGACTGCTTTAGTGTTAAAATATGGTGCTGTATTTTTAGGATAGTGTGTTTATCATTATATTTTATGTAGATATCCACATTTATTTAATATTCTTCTTCTGCAGTTTGTATTGAAAATGCAATATTTGATATCTCAAAAACCTGATGTGATAGACAAAAACTGATGCCAGATTTGGAATCAGCACCCCAGAATTACCTTGAAACCGTTGGAATACCTTATGCCAGAAAAAGTGTATTGACCAGTGTAAGACATCAGTGTTGAGGTTCCACCACAGGGCCTGCAAGGGGTGTTTTCACGTGTTGTGTACTGTCCGGGGCCACACGTCAAGGGGTCGCACTAAAGGCCACCAGGGGCTGCCAATGTCCCGCGGGCCTTGCAATGAAGAACACTGCTCTCGAGTGTATTTTGGCCTACCCTTTCACACCGCAAAGATGTCTTGGAAGGCCTGTGGAGGAGTAACCTCTCACTTTACGCCACCAAGAGCGGACCTGCGGTGTCCCTAATTGTACCGCTCGATGGACAGAGGGGAGCGGGGGGATTTAAGAAATGTTCACGATTGTTTCTGGATTGCAAGTCCATTGCGCCGACCATTAACACCACCACTGTGCCAGCATGCGGCAGGGAAATCTGCATAAAAGATGAGCCTACACTCGGAGGATTAGAAATAATGCATGTGAACATTTCCAGTTAAATGTGGGCTTCGCAGGACAACGGGAAAGTTTTTTTTTTATATAAATAGGTGCAGTTCTCTTTATTCCAGAGACGTTTGTAACTGAACTTGAGCCTATAGGCATCTTTGGTCGGCCGAGGCACAGAATCAAAATCATTTCACGCATCGCTACACAAAAGTAATTTAAAAAGCAAATGTTCTGTAAAAAAGTAAGGGGGGGGGGGGAAATGCTCATACTCTCCTAAAAATGTAGCAATAAACTTCCAAATGCAGACAATAAGATTGTTTGAGATAATGTTAGCGAGAGTCAATTCAAATTCCACGCGCAATAATGGCACCGCTGTTACATAACAATACGAAATGTCGAAATCAGGATTGTGAGCAAACACAAATGAAAGCAAACAAAATTGGAGAAAACGGGGGAACGGAATATTTACCAAAGCCGCTAGCATTGGGCCTCCCATTACGATCGTCAAATCAATCTCTCCCCCCCCCCCTCTCTCTCTCTTTCCCTCCCTCCCAAAAATATTTTTTTACCGTCGCGGCGTTTAACGATGCGCAATGTTCTTTAAAAGGCAGCAGAAGCAGCCAACTCCCCTCTTGACCCGCTTCAAGCACGGCTCGCACCGTGACGGGCTGCGGGTCGGTCAACCGACATAGCAGTCAATATTTAGCAAAAAGCGTAAATTTAATTAGGATTTAAAACACTAGCACCGACCTAATGCAAGTGGAAATTGCTGCGTTTTTAGCTTTTTGTACGGCTCCTTTGTCAATCAACTGCCGGGTGAAGGTCATCCCCGTGCCGTGTCGGTTATGGCAGTAGCTTGGCCACGTTGGTTAAAGGGTGGGGGCCGGTGAAGGGGGAGCCCAGAACAGGGTCAGATATCACTCGACGGATGTTAGCCATGTCCGGTATCAAACCGAGGTCTCTGGCTCCATTGTGCAGTGAGCTAGTGCAACCCACTCTGCTACCAGTCCACTACTCATACATATGCACTGTGTGGGTTGGGAAACGACTGGAAGGTGGGGGGGGGGGAGGAGGCGAAGGCAGAACCACTTCACGTATTACTCACCCTTGATATTAGTTAGCTGTGGTTGGGAATTAAATGAGAATTGAACTCATGTTTCTGGGTTTATCGCGCAACGCTCCAACCTGCCGTGCCACCGCTCTACCTCTGGCCGGTTTGCGTTGCCTTAACGCTTGCTGCTTTTGGCAGGAAGCGTTAACAACCTTCCACGATGCAGCTCGAAGCGATTGCTCGCACAAATATTATTAGTAGTTCGGCTATCGTGAGCCATTTTCTTAAATCACTTGACTGCCTACAGCCCCGGCAGACTGGCTAATAATGCCCTTTTTCATAATGGCTGATGGGGCCCTGTGCAAGATGAATGTGCGCACTCAACAGCAGGTGGGACAATTAAACGCTGCGGTTGGACTGTCCAGTATTCCTTAATGGAGTGAAGAGAGAGAGAAAAAACCCATTCTACGGGCTGGCATTACCATCCCTCTACCCCTCGTCTGTGCCAAGAGAATATACGTCCACCACCTACACAGAGGTCCTTGGCAACCTCCCTAAACGCAAATAATAATAAATAAAAGTGTCCCCAATTTCTAACTTATGATTCTTCAGAGAGGAGCTTTACAGGATTCAGTGCAAAACATGCCATTCCAAGTTTTGATGGCTCGAATGTGTTCATTTAAATTTTGTCACATGCAACAACAACAAAAAAGATAGCCGACTTGCTTGCAGACACTGGCTTTGCTTTGCAACTCTGTGTCTGTTCTGTTTGGTCTGGTCCCCCCCCCCCCCCCCCCCACTGCATTTGTATTCTGCCGAAGAGGTGCACGCCGCAAATTGTTGCGTGGTCACAATGGCCCATAATATCGTGACGCCGGCCCCTAATAACTGCACTTGAATGCAATGGCCGACTTGCTCGGCTGCCCGGCAACCGGGGAGAGGGTGACGCGTCAACTTCTGGACCAATGTTTCAAACGCCGCCATTTCTTGCGGCCTTTGGGGGAAACTGCGGCGCCGCGGTTTCGTGTCGACATTTCAACAGAATGGGAGAAAATGGAAGGGAGAAAGAGAGAGAGAGAGCGGGGAGGGTGTGCGGCCGTGCAAACTGAATGATAAGGCTCCTTTTGGACGTCGCAGCAGCAGATGACTCCATGCTGACAGAAAGAGCTTTCATTAAATTGCCCGTCGCTCAAGTGAGGCAGGATCGCCGTGGGGGCGGTGTGATGCAGCCATGTCCCCTCTCTCTTGCCTCTCTCGCCCTCTCTCTCTCTCCGGCCGGGTCCACACCTGCAGCGGGTTTTTTTGGCCACAATTTGCCATCACAGAACGCCGACGCAAAAGAACTCTGGGGATGACGAAAAGGGAAGAGCAGTTGTGGCTACCCTCTCTTCGAGCCGCGACACTCATTCCATGATTCTCGTTCATATATATATGTGTGTGTGTATATATATATGCTGTCTGGGTTATGAATTAACGCCCGAAACATTAACGATGCCTGTTCAGTTTAATGCTTGACTAACTTCTTAAAATAATTACTAATCTGAATGTAATTAAACGAAAAATGCTTGCAGCACCACGTTGCAACTGGTGCATGGAGCACAAACAATAAAAACTAAACACGTACGTCAAAAAAATCTGCCCCTAAAAGAAAGAAAATCGGTGAAATTTTTGGCAATGGCCCTTCTAAACAGCAGACATGAGTGGAATGAAAATTGTTGTATTTACGTGCGTTTCGAAAAGTTATTTGTGTTTTGTAACATAATTATTTAGCATTGTTCGGGCAGGTAAGTACAGAAATGTATTATATTTGACAGTCTAACAAATAGTATTTTGTATTCATAAAATTCACGCATTCTTGTTGGTGCTATTTTTTTTTACCTCAAGCCCAATGACGACGGTGACGACGATAGAACAGAACGATTGTTAAAGGGCACTTCATACATTTTAATTATTATTATGAAGAAGAAAGAACAAAAATCACCATATCCCGAATTGTCGCCGGGTAAATGTTCAAACGTGGAAAATTTCAACAACTGCCCCTGGCAAATGTTGGGTTTCCCTTCAATCTCCTCTTAATTGCATTACGCCGCGCCTTCCCTTTTTTTTTTACACACCAGCGGAATTACGCGGTCGCGCTTGCAGAGAAGATAAGGGTTCTGCGGCGGCGGCGGCGATGGTAACGGCGGCGGCATCGATTGCGCCGTTCATCCCACATTAACGGCCACCACGCTGAACGCGACGAAGGCGCCGCCCCGCAGATCGTCCAAGTGTGCGCGACTCATCGAGCGGCGACCGTCCACGTGACGAGGCTGCGGCACTTTGCGCCACGTGACCGGCCCCTCCGCAGAGTCACGTGGCTTCGGCATGCGCGGGTCCTCGCCGCCACCGATGCCGCTCCGGAACAAGCGCCGGCCGTTTGTGCGGCCCCTCGCACTGATGCACGCGCTCGCAATCTGCCTCCACTGGCATCTTTGCTTTCGTGGCAGAAAAAAAGGGTGACTGGCTGCGGGGCTGTGATTGAATCTGCTGCGAGGCGGCGATTGACTTTTCACAGCCGGAAACAATTGCGCACTTTTGGCCCAAGCTCTCCGCTGCACCATCTTTGTTCGTGCCATGTGGAGCCCGCAGCTAATGCTTCTCCCCCCACCCCCCCCCCCCCACCTAGTTTAACTCTTTAATCTTGAAAAACGGTTTCGATTTGTTTGCACTTATTTCCTCAACGTGGAGGTGTTTGGGATGGGAGAGAGTTTTTTTCGCGGAAGCTTCCAAAAGAATCGAATACAAAGTCGCGAAATTGTGTGAGATTTCGTGATTTCACCAAATACTCAACCGTGTCTGTTGTATATACATGTATAGATTAAATATATTTACGAGTTCACCTTAAAATCACATAATTTTCCATAAAATTCCACTCGTTGATCAAACAGATCACACAATAACGCCAATATTCATACATGCCCAATTTTACAAATCGTTATCAATACAATTTTAGGAGATATCAGACGAACTTGAAGGTGAGGTTAAGGAGTTTGTTTATGCTTCACGATCGGCACTCCCCTCCTACCGCCTCTTAGTGTGATGCCAACATGATCATCGGGTTGCGTGGAGCACCTGGCTTGGCAACAAGATGACACTGTGCCCATTGGTCAGTGCCAGATGCATCCTGAGTCTTGGCGCACCTTTGCCCAACCCATATTGAAAAGGTCATCTGAAAGGAACAAGCCAAATGGTACATAATGACCACAATTAACAATGGTGATTGGAAACATAGGTGGGATATCATCAGAAAAATCGCTTTCAAAAATGTAGTGGTTAGCACGCTGCGCTACGAACCGGTGCGACCCTAGTTCAATTCCCGCTCACGGCCAACATCAGTGACGATTATCTAAACTGGTCCCTGGGCCTCCCCTAGATCGACTCATCCTCAAATAAGTACCTTGTGTGGTAAACATCGTCACCAGGGAGACAAAGGTGGGCGGGTGTGGTGTTGGCCACCTACCCCCTCGTGTGCCGTTCCAGGCTTCATAGGCGCTCGTGAACAGCACTTGCCCCAACAGTCTGTTAAGGCCATATGGGGGATCTTTGTATATATATACCCACACACCACACTGTATCTTTCCTCCACTCCCCCTGGCCCAAAGCAACCCCTATCTACACCCAACCCTCACTCCCCAACCTAAAGATTTGCAGTCTTCTTCTTGGTTCTTTCGGTAAAGTCACGTAGAAGGGAAGTAATAAAATAATAAAAATAAAACATAATAAAACAATTCTCACTTGTGAGGTACTTAAAGAACCAAGAAGATGAATCCCTGCAGTCACGAAAGCTTTAAATCGAGATTTGCAGTCTGTTCCTGAAATTAAAATGTGATCATGCGTTCGAGTGAGCAAGTGGCCTCTGCAGGTTAAAATGTTCTGTCAAGGTACAGGATTCGAGAGCTCGCATCAGACACAGTGGCAAAAACTAAACTCAGAAGGATCTTCACTATTTACGTTGGACGGCATTTCAACATGCCCTGAAACGCACTGCATTGGAATTCAAATTACAAAGTGCGTAATGCGTGCACACGAGCACAGCGCATCGCGCGCTTAAATTTGCACACCCTCACCGTGCGTACGGCATCCGAAAATCCAACATCAAGGGCCACGTTAACAAACACCAAGACCAAGCGAAAATAACGCCGCGTTAAAATTTTCAATTGCAGAAGCCGAATTGTTTAAGGGTCAAAAATGTTTTAAAAACGAGATAAATTACATCGAGACCTTGAGACATCCATCAGAGGCTTGTGTGTGAATGGGACTTATCCATTTCTGTCAAAAAGAAAACTAGACAATGTACGTCTGCAAGGCTGCTCGGTGTGCCATGGCAGACTGTGCCGCACTGTATGACGGCAGTCAAATAGCACGCGAGCGCCTCTAAAAGCATTCCGATTAAACCCAGCTTCCTACTGGGCTAATCAGAGTAATTGCCGTTGAATGTGGTGCTAATGCTGGAGAGTTCGGAGCAAATGAAAAAAAAACTACTCCTGGGATTTCACACCACATCTGCTCAAAACAGCTTTCCATCCTCGCCGTTACAGCCGACAGCACCCACCCCACCACCACCCCCATGCCCATCACCCAACCACATCTTCAGACACCATCAGCAACTGTGGCACAGCCTCAATTCTGACAGAGCAATTAATGTGTCCTGTTAAATTGGTTGGTTTTCTTTCCCCCTGTTCCTGTGTCCACGCCCGATAAAGCCGTCGCATTAATGAATTATGAATCGACTCGCTTCACCGGCTCTCCTTCAAGATGCACGTGTCATATACGGGGAGGACTGTGTAATACCATGCAGTACAGAGTCGCTGATCCCACCGTCACGTGTCCGCCCCGACCAATTAACCGCTCACACCAACCGCAGTGTTTGTTGCAAGGCGTCAATGCCCTTTTTTTCCGGGACGTTCACAAATCTGACCTCATCACACGCACCGACGCATTCTTAATCTCGCGAACATTCCCTTAGTCGTGAAGCACGGTAAAGCATTTCCCATTTTTAAAGCAGCTTGTGCCTGATCCTAAAGAAGTTCGACTGTGCGATGATTAAACTAAATGTGCTCACGCAGTGGCCACTGACTCAGTACTTAGCCAACCGTTTGTCCACTGCTGTCGATTTAAAATTTCCTGCATCGTTAGTGTAAATCTCTTTAAGGTGGAAAAACGCAGACTCAAAAAATACCACGAAAAATGTTGCGTGTGTCTCTTGCATTAAATTCATTCACGAATGAATGCACGAATTAAATCAATAACGAACAGATTCATGCGTGGAAGAATGAATGGATGGGTACGTGCATGAATTAGTGAATGGTTGATGCGTTCGTGCATGCATGAATGAATGAACGCATTCGAATTTTGCGGGCGTCCCGTAGTCACATCGAAACGTTTTGTGGTGTCCCGACACCCAAGGTGTCTCTGCTCCCCCAGTGTTCAGTGGAATTCTAAGCACACGTGGAAACCTATGAAGTCCCACGGAATAGTTGTGTTCACCCCAAAAGGACGTGATTGGAGAAAGCGGCATGCCCCTCTTAGGCCCGCGGCATTGTTTTAATCACCGCGTTGTTTTTGCCAATGTTTTCTGAGCCACACGGTGTGAAACACGCATATCCCTGTGAGGATTATTTGAATGCAGACCGATTGTTTAGCATCAAAAGGCCTCTGATCAGTTGCCAAAAAAATGCTCGTGGAGTGTGAAAGTAAATCAGCATTTATATACCGTATATAGAAATAATATTTTTAAAACACTATATATAATTTAACGACCACATTTTGTGTAATCATGAAGAAACCATCATTAAAGCATAAAATATAAGGCTGCAGTTAACCCCAATTAAGAGAATAGCTGATTTGTTTTATTGTGAATAATAATGTGCAGGTTAATGAATACAGTAGTAATAATAAGTACAGGTTTTGTTTATCAGTCCCGCACTTACATGCCATGACATGCTTGCAAAACATTGTCATTCATGAAAAACGTGGAACCAAAACTGAAAAGTGTGCAAATCAGTTACAAATGACACTCAGAGACAGAAAGATGAACACGTGGATGCCAGAACAACAGGCAGGTAGGTCAATGACATGAATTCAAATTGTTAAAAAAGTGAGTGGACTTGGGGAAGCCACTTTAGTGAAAGGGATGATGATGATGACCGATGATCAAGAATAAAAATGTGATGGCGATGACGGAAGGAATCGGAGGAGTGGAATGCATGAGGAGAGAGCGTCCACAGAAAGAGATGGAGCAATGAAATCACCTCTAATGCAGGTACTAGGTGAAATTATCTCCAAGGATTGTGAAAGGTGGCTTGCTTAGATAGACCTTCATCCTGCAGAGGATTGAACAAGGCTGACGATTAATAATTTGTATTAGGGATAGAGTAGTGGCGCAGTGATTAGTGGAATGTGCTGTATGAACCCGGCGGCCTGACTTTGATTCCCGGCCAAAGTTAATGTCGTGGCACGTTACATTTGAACCAGTCCTGGGCCCCCACCCATTCATCAGTCCAGACTGATCAACGTGATGAAGCATGCATGATCAACATGGTGTATATAGAGAGGCCTTCATCCAGCAGTGGATTGCCATTAGGATGACAATTATTTCGATTTAAAGCTTTCGTGACTGCAGGGACTGCAAAGATTCATCTTCTTGGTTCTTTCGGTAAAGTCACGTAGAATGGAAATAATAAAATAATAAAAATAAACCAAATAATAAAAATAAAACATAATTAAATAATTTTTATTTCCATTCTACCAAGAAGATGAAAATTATGTTATTGAATATAACATTGTTAGCATGGTTTTACAAAACACGTGAAATGTGCTCTTTCAGATGCAGACAATTTTACGACGAGATAAATGTGCGGGTCTGAAATTGCTTGTTTATGTCCACCACTGCTGGCAGAAGGGCATCTACAAGAGAGAGTATTTTACTCATTGACGCTGATCAGACGTCTTGCAAACATAAGTCCCCACACTTTACCCCACCACGCGCAGCCTTCTTATCATAGAAGGATGCGTTGAGATTATTTAGATAATTTGTCTGCTATAAATTTCCACGTAAGCTACTTTATTGAGCTATCATTTGTGGCCAGGTCGCTTCTGAAAAATAAGCTAATAGCTCAGTGGGCTTTACCTGATAAATAAATAAATAAAGTTATGTTTTCTTTTTGTGATTTGCTTTTCTTTCCTACACTTTGCACTGTCGTGTTTTTGTGATTGCTGTTGTAACTTTCTGACCCACCCCTACTGGATATGTGAAAAAGAGCATTATAGCTCATAGGATCCCTCCAGTATAAACACATTCCTGCGGAGGGAGCTGGTAGGAACGTTGGGTTGCTCAGTCAATGGCCAGGGTCAACGGCGGCGTGGTGTATTCCGCAAATATGGCAGACTGTGAGGGCGGGCACAAGCCGACGTGAGTAGGTTAAACGTTGAGTTTTATAAGGGCACCACGGGGTGACCAGCCCCTCCCCACCCAGCCCCACCCTCCCCACCCAGCCCCACCCTCCCCACCCAGCCCCTCCCCACCCTCCCCACCCAGCCTCTCTCCACCCTCCCCTCCCCACCCAGCCCCACCCCTCCCACCCCCCACCCTGCCCCACCCTCCCCACCCAGCCCCTCCCCACCCAGCCTCTCCCCACCCAGCCCCTCCCCTCCCTACCCAGCCCCTCCCTCCCCACCCAGCCCCTCCCTGCACGACAGACGGACGGACACAATAATCCCCAGTGGGCTGGTGTAACCAGGAGGTTCCTACCAGTAATACAGATTCTGATTCTGCACTGCGGTGTAGACATTTAAACTGTGAAGCAGACAGAGGAGGTTAGGGGGGGGATTTAAGAAGCTTGCTCAATGTCTTAACTGCCAAGTGAGGAGCAATTTGACATTCTATTGTATAAAAAAACAACACGGCCTTTTGCAGTTAAATTGCAGATGGTGCTCTTTAAATAGCTCGAGAAGAACACAAACATGATCTACAAATTAATAAAGTGCATGCTTGTATATACAAAGTAAGCTGGCAGACCTGAAGCACTCCCACGCAGAGCGGTGTATGCACGTTGGCAGGAAAACGACAAACTTGCACGTCACATTCTACCAAAAATAACTCTTAGTCAATAATTAAGGAAATAAATCTGGCACGAATAACACTTTATGATCCCTCAATGAAGCATCTCA